TTTGTTCCTCTAAGAGGACCTAATGCAGTTTAAGAGGCAAATTAATTCCAACAGTATGCCCTTCTTTCCCCCTTATTTTTCTCTTATTTCTCTTGGCCAGCTTGTAGCAGAATAATGCATGTAGGTGTCATTTTTTGCATCTTTAAATCTGAACTCTATGGATAATGCTGCAATTCAATTTGCAACCTGGCTTGTATTCAGGACTGGCCTATCCTACCACAGCAATTTATTTATCATGTTGTTTACTAAATCGTTTATATACTTTGGACAGAACAGACATGGCTGCCAACAAAGCTTAAACAGGGATTTCATTACCCAGAAGCATGAGAACACAATCAGGAGTATGCCATGATGTTGTCATCTTCTGGCATTGTTGGAGAGAAAAAGCAGAGCTTACAACTGGTCTGAATTGCAAAAAAAAGTATTTTCACAAGGGATGATATTTTGCCCTCGTTATCACATAAAAATTTCTATCAACAGTCTTTATGATTTGATTTTAAATTTACTTTTATTTGTGGGATAAATGACCATATCAAGTTAGTTATTCGTCCTTGCTTTCCTACTTATCTATCCTTTTCTTTTCATTGGCACCCTTATCCATTTCTGCTCTCTTATCTTTGTACCTAATTTATCTGTTTCTTTCACACATTTCTCTGGGCTTTCTTCCATCACAATGTTTTGTATGGAGGTCTTTTCCTGACCTGGCTCATGAACTTGCTAATTTTTCATTCATGTCTTTTCTGAGGACTTATTTCTGCTTTGAGCTTCCTCAAAAGTTACTCTGAAAGGTGGTTATTTTAATTATCCCTACAAAAGTAATTTATTTTCATCTCCTCTGCCATTCACACTAGACTTCATTGATTAGTGCACTGTGTTCCTACCACTAGTCCTGTTCTTGTTTCGTTACCTCTTTATTACACCATTTCTGGAGCGGGAAAGTGCTTTTGGACAGGGATTATGCCATTATTTCTTCTGAAAAAATGACAAACTGGTGAGCTGTCTGATCGTTGGCATCTCCCTGGTATTAGTATGCTTTGTCTTTTTTTTTTTTTTAACTCTTAAATAATACACTTATCTCTTAAAAAGAAAAAGTGTTCATACTGGGTTGGAAGTCCTAATAATGTTTCAGGCAAGATGCTGTTGACTTTAATTTAAAAAAGAAAAAAATTGTCTGAGCAGAGATTGCAGGAATGATCCCAGGGTTTGTGAGACTGTTGAACTCTGGGGTAGCAAATTCTGAAAACTCCTCTGAAGAGGAAGCAAGGGAATTGACACAAGAACGAGTTACTGTGAAGGTAAACAGAAGTCTGAATTTCCTTCTCCACAGTAACTATCTGTGGTGAGCGGTAAATGCAAAGTAGCTTAACTTCTTTCATAGGAATACTGAAATGATCCCAGTGGCTGAGGTCACAGTATTGGAAAAACAAGTTCTTTCTTTAGCTAGATGAAGCTGTTTCATTGGGCTTACTATTTCACTTGGACTGCAGGGATTTTGTGGAGCGGCTAACGTGCAGTAAAAGTTCACACCCTGTTCTCACCACACAGTGGCACATTTGTGTGCCCATAGTAGGTTTGCACATGAAAAAATAGAGACTTTACTTAATATAGTGACTTCACAAAAAAGTTTCCAGAGGCTGATAGTGGTGTCCCTTTACAGTGACTGTTCATGTTTTGTTCACAGCTGGGGATTGTGAAAAGTGGTGGCTCTCGTTGCTAAAAACTGTGCAGGCTCCTATCAGAACATGGCATCTTCTGTAGGAGTAGCAGCAGGACACAGTCAGGTTTCAGGTGTGCTTGATGGGTAGATGCTGACAATCCACAAGACGGCATGTTACAACTGCACTTCATACATAGTGTCAGTGGAGCATGATCTAACCCTGTTAGTGTGAACTGGGGCTAAAAGTTGTGTCTTTTAGAAAAAGAAAAAAAAAAAGGAAGAGCTATTTCAGATTTGAGCTATTTCAGATTTGAACTGGGAGCCATTTTAAATGTGCTTGTTTTATTTTTGCAACACAAAATAAAAATAAATAATAAAAATAAAAAGTGAGAAGTAACTTGGTTTCTTTTTTTCTTGGCGTTGTGTTGAGTTTACATTCAAAATATGTCAGTAAGTGGACACTGATTTGCTGTAATTCAGCCACTGGTGCCTCTCACTGCCAAGAACTTATGAGGGGCTTCATAGAAATGAAATACTAATATTGACCAAGAGTTCTTGTGGTGTGGGGATTATTAATTTAAATTATTTTAACTTAAGGTATTCAAGATTTTAAATGTACTTGGAGGGAATTAAAGTTCACAGTTATATTTTAAATAATGTGCATTTATAATTAGTATTTTTACTTGTATTGCCCGCAAGTTTGCACTGTATTAAAACTGAAAATTTTGGAGCCTTTTTAGGTCCTTTTTAGCTTTCATGCTGTTTACAGTTTGTGTTTACTTCATTTTGGACAATAAAAGATAAATTAGTTCATTTTTTGGCTCACTTGCACTAAGCCATTTATTCTATTTGGATGGCAAACTGCACAGAGAATGTTAAAATTCAGATGTAATCCTCTTCATTTAAATGGAAGAAAATAATAATTTCTATAAATATTTAGTTTTGTAGAATTTTTCACTCTCTTCTTCTGTTGAATAAGGCCTGATATTTCACTCACCTAATTTCTGTGTTCTTTTTAAGGGTCTGTTCCAGAATATACTAAAAAACATGAAAAAGCTGTTGCTGACTTTAGCAGGTGTCGGATCAGGCAGTCAACTAGTAATCTTCCACTAAATTTCACATTTTTGACAACACAAGGATCTCTGAAATATGAACGAACCCCAGAACACCATTAATAATATTGCCTTTAAGTATGTAAGAGTTAACATATTCTAAGAATTACTTCTCTATTCAGATTTTTCTCAGCAGCTCTGTAGTGTTCACAGTCTGAAAAACATTGAGTGTATTTGAAAAGTCTTTTTGAGGGTTTTGCTGAGAAGAGGAAAGGTCTGGTTCAACTTTTTACTGTTGTTCCACAAACTTTCATCCCCTTTCACACTGGAATTGAAAATCAGAATACAAAGGACTGTTTATTTCCAGTCCCTGATAATTGCTCTTTTTTTCAATTACCTGATGATTGAAATGTCTCACATTCAATTTTTTTTCCAACAGTTGCTATGTCCCTTACGGGTGTAGTTATCAAGAGAGAACTAATTGGTAGAAGGAGCATTCTTGTTTCAGCAAAAGTCATTACCTTTCCGAGCTATACAACTTACGTAAGCATTTCATACACGTGCCAGAATCATTTCTCATCTTTTGACTAATTGAGTGACCGCAAGGGATCAGATTTGTATTGGGTTGCAGAATTAAGAACTAGTTCACCCAAGTGAATTGAGAAAAACCTGTTTTTACTGCTGCTCGTTTTCCGTCATCTGCCGTGTTTCATCCCGAGAGAACAATAAGCAGCCTGTCACTGAGCTTTTAAAAACAGATTTGTTACCTGGCTCCCTGGCTTACAGAGCCCTCCTGGAGCTTCTGCTCCAGGATTACTGAGGTTTTGCATGTGCTTGCAGTCAGGCAGGGAAGTGAACATGAAAAGATCTTTGAGTGTGTTTTTTATCATGTGAGCTGTGGCTTCTTAAAACCTATTTGAGTCTACGGGTGGTCCTGTTCTGACCAAATCTTCTCCAGCACAAGCAGTTTTTATAAGAAATTTTCGTATTACCTGGAATAGTTGAGAAATATTTCTAAGAAATACTTGTATTGCTGGACATGAATGTAGTGAAGACTATGAAGTGTAATTGGTTTTAGGTGGGATCTTTAAATCTGCATGATTATATGTTTATATATGATTACATTTTAAATTTAGAGGAATTTCATGCAAATTATAAAAAATGCATTTTTTCATACTTTTCTCTTGTAACTGTATCACTATATAATTTGAGGTTTCTAAACCTACCTTGTACAGTTAGTTTCTAAATCTTTTGTAGAAATTCTAAATCATTTGTATAAATTATTCACCTATTTCTTTCATAAGGAACATCATATTTTCTTCTCTTTTACAGTTGTATCTTTACACTGATAATAAACAGATTAGCCTGTTGTGACAAGAAGTGTTGGGATTTGTGACATTACTGTGACATAAAACCTGTCGAAAAGCATCACTTCTAACCAAGGCATCGTAACAATTCTGGCCTTTTAAAAACTTTTATTATTAATCCATGTAGTTTACCTAAGCAGAGGATAGAAGCTATTTCCATGATATAACAGATTAAATCCCATCCATTTAATGTCTCTGTGCCTGATAAAGAACGTGATATTTGTCTTTCTTTTTTGACTCTGTCGTCTGTAAAATAGTTATACTGATTTGCAGGTTGGCCAGTGTTGACTTTTCTTGCAGTTAGCAAGTTTACTTAGTCTGTAAATGCAAAGAGTCATTACAGTTGCTAAAAGCACTTTAAATTTTACCTATCAGTAAAGAGAAAAAACAGTAAATTACATACAAAAATCAGCTTTTGAAAAAAGATCTTAGGTGGAAAAAATAGTAATTGATAAGTTTAGGTATGGAATTTTAATTTGGCTTCTCTGTGCGTAACCATTATCACAGTCTGATCATCTACTGTTATGTAATCACAGAGTATTTTAATGTTACTTCATCTAGATAACAGTAGTAACACCTATCCATTCTAAATCCCAAAATGTGTGTAGAGAGTGTATATAACAGTATCTATATCACTATAGATTTTTAACTTGAATTTTAAAAGGCATTTAGTTTTTGCAACCTGTGTGGAAGCAATAGCACTGTAGTCAGGTGATTTAAAGGCATTATGTAAATAGTGTTCGGACACTACCTTCATACCTGGGATTCTTCACACACTGTAAGCCAAGTGTGATGCAGTAAAGGATGGGTTATAATCTTCCTTGTCTTGAACTTGAGCTCTGACATTGTACTAAATCATGATTTAGGTAAAAGCTAACCGAGTCTCAGTGCTAAGTGTCATGCCTTTCTTTCTCTCTGTTTCAGCTGAGACAATCCCAGTCGTACTGCACAGACACAGAATGCCTTCAGGAATGTGAGTAACTATTGAGATCAGGTGCATGGAAATAAAATAAACAGTAGTAATTAAAATACAGTCTGACTAGGCTTTAAAATGCAGCAGTTGATTTAATGTTATGGGAACATATTGCATGAAATCAAATGCTACAGTACTAAAATTGTTATGTGGGGGAGGTAATTTCTGAGAATCTGTGATGCAGATGAGCGTTTGTACACTGGAAGCATTGCACGGAAGCGGCAATGGTGGCCAGGCTAGAGGTATCAGTACACCAGCATGACCATTGATCGGGCCCCAAGCATTACTGACTCTTACCGTTACCCTCCAAATAGGATGATTTCAGTTTTCCCTTATGGAGAAAATTGGGGCGGGGGGGGCTTTATTTGTCCTCCTTACAGTCACAGCAGCCTAACTGGTGAAGGCTGGATATTCAGCACAGACCCTGACACGTGCCTGTGTTCACAGCAGGGGCCGAGTGGCTTACTCTCAGTGCTGGAACACTCTGCTGCACTGTGAAGGAGGGGAGATTCCCTGCCAGCTCTGACTGATAAGTTGACATACACCGTAACTGCATTTCTGTTTTGACTCGGTGGCCGTGTAGTTAATGAAGCAGAGTACTGCTGTGTACACTTCCTTGAAATTTGCTGTGAAATACATCTAAAAAACTCTCCCAAACAGTGAGTGTTGCTGGGACAGTCAAACGTTACCAGCATCCACAGGGAAGCATAGCTGCGCAGAGGTTATGCACTAATGTAAGCTTGTCCTGAGGCACTCTGTTTACACTTTTCATGGTCTAGAGGGAACATTGCCAAATGCTTATAAATAAAAATGAAGTGGATCTGTTTTTCCTATATTGCTTTACCAGTTGAGCATATAAACTCACTCAGTTAGCCTGCAATCGGGACTATTGTAATGCTTGGAGGGAGCAGGGTAGCACCTGAACAGTGTTCTTGGATGCAAGAGCTGCTGGTGCCTGTATCTTCTACAGGTCTAGGGGCAGTGCAGGCAAGGTTTCCAGGATCCTGGGGAGAGGTCATGCCTTCATTCAGTCTCATGTTCCTCCCTCTTCACTCCCCAGTAAAACCTGTTTTAGAGACGGGCATCTAGCTTGGACTTGCACTGTGCCCTCCCAGCGTGAAACAGGCCTAGATTCATTGACATGTTGGGCTGAAGGGGAAAAGCTATGAGCTTTCCCAGATAAACCCTGGACATAAAGAGTGGGGCGCACATGTGCCCTAACAGTGCTGCTGACTTTACTCTTTCTTTTTGGGCTTTCCAAGTTACGCTGTGTCTCTGTGACTTGCAGCACCCCTCCTCTCCCAAATGCATCTGTCCTAAGGCAGACTTTTTCGTCTCCCACACCTTAGACTTCTGAGGGGCGAGGGGTGTTAAATTACAGGTATGTAGGAGAGGGAAGGAGGGAGGTCACAGAAGACAGAGTACTTTCTGTGTTAGAAGTAGGCACAGACAAGCTGTGCAGCTTTCTGAGCTTTAGTCTGCAGTCAAAACCAAGTGATGGTAGGTCATTCTCACTCAAGTCTTGGTAGTCTTGACCTATCAATATTTACGAAGCTTTTAGGCTAAAGACTGCATAAATGAGTAAGTTCTGCTATGTGTGGGCACGAAGCTTGTGGGATAGCTTTCATGCCACCAAGCTATAGTACAGTGGGGCTATGAATGGTTTGCGGCAAATAGCTTTCCATCCTGAAAGAGATCCTTGCAATAGCTGTCTGTGCAGATGCAAGCAATTTGGCAGCAATTGTTCCAAACCAGTGGTTTGTTTCAAAAACCAAAGCAAAAATTATAGAGTAAATCCTCTCCTACGTTATTATATTGCCTTAAATTTAGTTCCAGCAAAGGTATTTTTCTGCTGATGCAATGACACTGAGTGCCTATTTGTCAGATTATTTTGTGATGCTTCTGTGATTCTGTGCTTGGGCCAACATGAGCTCTGTAAGAGTCCCAGGAGTCAAAGGCAAAAATAAACAGATTGAGCCTGCAGAAGCTTCTAGACATGTTTTCAGAGACAGATTAAACCAATTCTGGGCCAGTCTTCTGTCCATTGGGTTAATCCTGTTCTGATGAGCTATACCGTGATGAGCTTACGTTTGAGGTGGGTCTCCTCTTCCCTAGGTCCCGCAGCTCCATTTCCTGTTACTTGCTGACTTTGATTTCAGGACCTCAATATGGAGAAGCATGTTTCATTCCCACCCGTTTGCTCATTCCCAGGATTTGGTCTTCCTTCTGGAAGCACAGCTGCGAATGTTGTCATACACAGATTCTTAAGTTGCGAGCTTGTGGAATAACTGATGAGATGTATGTGGTTTTGTTTTGGGCAACGTCAGGGCTGTGGTTCAGCCAGTGTCACAGCAGTGTCATGTGTTATGCTGTTGCTACCAGCTGGAAGTTCTCAGAAACACCCTGCATTGATTCTTCCTGAGCACACTTTGTTTTTTCAACCCTTGATTTCAGATCTTTTTTAGACTTTTGGAGCCAGATCAAAGCAGTAGCACTAAGGCTCCCTCATTCACATTTTTGTGTTATAAACTCTAAATTTTTATTTATGGTTGTTGGCACCATTATATTGTAGTGAATAACCTGCAGAGAGTTTCCTGCCAGGGTCAGGACCACTGCTCTCAGATTTGTACTCCCACATACAGGAGGATATGAGCACTGCTTCAGAGAGCTTTTGGGCCCTCTGCTTGATGGCTGTTCCTCTGCTGATTCTCCATCAGAATATTTGCTGTGACGGTAAAGTGTGCGTCAGAGTCTGATGACTGTTCCCTCCATTTCAGCGGGTCCCTTGGAGAAAAAAGGCTGCAAGTTTTGAATATGCAACACATGTAATATTCTGTTGGGATTGTTTATGCTCAGCAAATCAGAAGATCTTACAGTTTCCCTTGAGATGAGGAATAAGAGCAGTAATTCTTTTCTGAATTCTGTCTAATCCAAGCGGAGCAGGGAAGATTTCTCTGAATTGTGTTGCAGTTGCAACATCAGTGGTTCATCCAGTGCAGGGAGGATCCCCAGTTGGTACTGAGCTGTTCTGGTGTCTCATGGCCCTTCACAGTCAGTGTTCCATGTCAAAGGAAATGAGAGGCCACCGCCTGAATTTTTTCTCTGTTCTAGCAATTCCCAGATGTTGTGACCTGGATTTACCACATTCATATTTTCAACACTATTCTCAGTGCTCTACTAGCTTGTAATATGGTCAGAGATGACTGTCTCAAGTGTTGTCTACCCTAATTCCAAATTTTTATGTATTTTAAAATCAATGCATATCTGTGATTCATCTTGAGTTGTACTCATCTAGGGGAGTCACAGCAGCCTAATCTAATAGCATGAAATGTCTGCCAACTCTTCCCTCCCTTTTCTGGTAATTCCCTTCTCCCTCACTCAAGTCCTTTTTGGCTTTCTTCAGTTTCCTTATCCCTGCCTTTGATAGTGTCAGCTTGCAGGGATTATCTGCTGAAGGTCCCACAGGCTCTTTGTCTTCCCTGATGATTCATCTGTAAGATACCTCTCTTCATATGCTTTCCTGCCTTTCTTTCACAGAACAAGCAAGGCTAAAAACACTGTGAAAAGAAGAAGGCACAAGTCACATGCAGATCCCACATGCAGATGTTAAAGAGTAAAAGCTGAAGATCCAAAAGGAGATATTTCTACCATGGGAGGGCAGACAAAAAGCACCACATGGAATGTACTTTTACATTAAAAGAAATGCAATATTTTCTCTTTTTCTTTAGAGTACAACCTCACTCTGAATGAAAAATCATAGAATCATAGAATCGTTTAGGTTCGAAAAGACCTTTAAGATCATCAAGTCCAACCATTAACTTAGCGCTGCCAAGTCCACCACTACACCACGTCCCTAAGCACCTCGTCTACCTGTCTTTTAGATATCTCCAGGAATGGGGACTCAAACACTTCCCTGAGCAGCCTGTTGACAGCTTGACAACCCTTTCAGTGAAGAAATTTTTCCTATTATCCAATCTAAACCTCCCCTGGCACAACTTGAGGCCATTTCCTCTTGTCCTGTCACTTGTTACTTGGCAGAGGAGACCAACATCCACCTCGCTACAGCCTCTTCTCAGGTAGTTGCAGAGGGCAATAAGGTCTCCCCTCAGCCTTCTCTTCTCCACACTAAACAACACCAGATCCCTCAGCTGCTCCTCATAAGATTTGTGCTCCAGTCCCCTCACCAGCTTTGCTGCTCTCCTCTGGACATGCTCCAGCACCTCAATGTCCTTCTTGTAGTGAGGGGTCCAAAACTGAACCCAATATTCAAGGTGGGGCCTCACCAGTGCTGAGTACAGGGGGACGATCACTTCCCTGCTCCTGCTGGCCACACTATTCCTGGTACAAGCCAGGATGCTGTTGGCTTTCTTGGCCACCTGGGCACACTTTGAGAGGACAACTGAGTTCATGTAAGGAGTATTTAACAAGGGCATTTATTAATTTTAATATTGTATTCCTGAGATTTCAGTTGCACGATTAAGAGGTGGTTGACCTTTAATCTTTAGAAATTATTTTTACCATCATCTTAGTAGCTTTGACTGCCTTCTACTACAACATTAAATGAGACAGCAAACATTTGTCACAGAAGATTATGTTTTCCCTTCCCTTTTCTCTCTGAGGGAAGACTAGTTTGTGTGGCTTAGTCTCTGTTTCTGTAGGAAAAAGCAAGCCAAAGAACCATATCTCATATTGTGGAGTAACAGATAGGATTCACCATAGCCATTAGTTTCCATGAGAGTTCATCCCACAGTCTCAGACCAGCCCCTCATAAAGTTTTTTCCTGCATGATGTAAAAAAATTCCAGGTAACCAGAGGGGCAGAACTGCTCACAGGCTTCATTCAGAAGTGTGTGGATGTTTAGATATGCTCAGCCCAGGGGACTAGATACTCTGAAAATAAAGACCTTGGACTGGATTCAGTGTTGTGTGGAAAGGCAGGTTGGAGACTGTAAGCTTCATTTCAGTCAGTGACAGGGGTTACCAAGAGAATATGTACTGCTACGTTCTGTGCTAGTTGGTGTCTCCCAGGCACTGGAGATTAATAACCAGATCCATCCATCAAAGTGGATGGTGGCAGGGACATTAATCTGTGACATCAGAACAGGACAATCTTCTAGCCATCTAGAAACATTAAAAAATATCATCCACAGATGGTCTTATAGGACAGCCTTTATTCTTCAAGGAATCAAAAAAACCACTTCTGAATTACCTGCAAAAATATAAAGTACAGGTAAAAGCCCTGTGGCCATGAACTCTAAAAATAAGATCTTTTCTTCTGCCTGTCAGCATAAATTCCATCCTGCTTGGTTTCAGCTTCACTCAACTGTTCTTTATCCATAAGCTGGTATTATCTCATTATTTTGTGATCTCAGTGATGGAGCTCTTTGTAGCAAAAGATTGTCATCTTCTACATACTATTGCTGCCAGTAGCTGAAACAGCTTCTTGTCTGTTCTCTTTATTTGTGATGCAAAGCTTTGAAAAGTGTGATTCACCCCAGCTATGTGAGACTTTGCTTATCCTCATCTCCTTATGTTAAGAGATTAAAGTAACAGATTCTGAAATATCTCACGTCCTTATTAAAACACATGGTCATTTGTGAGAGATGTGGATTTAACGGTACTTGAATAGTGTAAACAGTGTTGTAGCTGTTTTAGTATCTGGCGTGCTTTGAGTAGGTAGTAGAGGGCCAAGCTGTTGTCTTGCTTAACTTAGTTTAGAACATGTTTCAGCACATTTGGTTCCATCCAAATCGTATTACAACGCAGGCTGGATAGAAACTGTGTCTTGCACAAATGCCTGTGATTTCTCTCTGAGGTTCCTTCTGCTCCCTTCCTAGACCTGTAGCATGAGCTCACCTAGCAGCATGTACGTACCCCAACTCTTGTTTAACCACAGACCCTAAGTGCACTATGATTCAGCAAAAATTACAGAAGTCAGCCTGACTATTCCCTGCTTCTCTGCATTGTATGGGGAATCCGGCGTAACAGGTGACCTGAATTTTCAATGTTCTGCGGAACATACGTGCCAAAGCAGGTGCCTACGGCTGTCTTACATGCTGCTGAAGGTAGTCTTAGGGTGGCTATTAATGTCTGGAAGCCCCAAAATAAAACTGTTATTCTTTTCATGCCGAATTATATGCTAGTTTACTGGATTATATATATATAAAGGTCATCCAAGTTTTAAAATATTTATATAACATGTTGACAATAATAATATTTTCACTCAATACAGTTGCAGGTCTAAATTCTTACCTGCACAATTCCATATGCTTTCTGAATCAATTATGTCCTAGAATCTAATGAACTAAAGGCTGTAGCATTCTCATTCCTTTTCTTTGCACTATACCGTCTTCTCATATACAGAGCCCTTTATTCACTCAGATCTCCAAAAGAATTGTCACTTGTAATTGTATATACTTCTAATCATAAAATACCTCTACATTAGCACCATTTGAGTTTTGAAATGTCTATATTTTGGACATTTAAAAGGCAAGAGCTGTACGGCAGTTTCATTTGCTTATACGTGTTAATGGTTTCATTGGTACTGTGAGAACTATTAACTTCTAGAATGCAATTTTTTTCTTCTTTGACGTTTTTGAGTGCATTTGATGCCAGTAAAGAATGTCAGTCTGACAGCCCCCACTCATGAAGTCTTATCCACAGAACAGCGGTGTTGTGAATGGAGTAGCTGTAAGCTTCCCCACAGTGCCCCTCTGCTGCGTCTGAGCTGTGCTATGAAGAAACCACCCTCATAGAAGAGCCTCTGTTAAAAATGCTTCTTTGGTTCTTTGGTATCAGCATCAACCTTCAAGGAAATAACTGGCTCCAGCAGTTCACTGGGTATAAGTTATCTAGCAAATGTTAAATAAGAACAACTTCCAACCAATACTGAATCCAGATTCCATAACAAGATCATCCAAAGGAGCTGAGGCAACTGAAAAATGTGACAGATACGAGTGTCCCTGTGGAATTTCCCTGAACATTAAAATTTTCATCTTGATAGGCTCTTCTCTTTTTGAAGGTTATTGATTATCACTTTGTATTAATTGCTTTGTATTAATTGATTATCCAGGTCATTAATGAAGATGTTAGGTCTTTAGATACTATTGTAAAGGGGGCCATGTAAGTACTGTAGGTACTGAACTGTACATTGGTTTACACTTTAGCTGACAACATTAGTTACAACTTGATCATCTGAAGTTACGTTTCAGAGGAGAAGAGTTGATGTTTTCAAATGTGCAGGTATTTGCAAGACTTTCTTGATCTAAAAAGACTAACCAGCCATTTCCAGTCTGAGGGGATTTTTTCAGTCTTATTTCCATGCTTTGATGTCTCAGCCATTCTGTATGGAAATTAGGTGTACAGTTTGTATATTGTATTCCTCCGCTTCACTTTTTCATATATCTCCTCAGCACTTTTTTCCCCTTCTGACAGATGATACATTTTCCTTGATGCTTCAGAAATACCACATGACCTGGATGACCAGCCATGGAGATCTGGCATATTGACACTGACACTTGTTCAAACAACCCCTCAATAAACAACTTACAGTAACCAACAAAGTTATAACCATTAGTTTGCTCCCTTCTTGCTAGAATTAGCATGTTCTCTATGTGTAGGCTAACAACAGAGTCAAAGGTTTAATCTCTTTAGCTTTACTTTTGTATTTATGTGAGGCAAAAAACAAGCACCAACATGCAGGTGGTGGTTTGTTGTTTTTTTTTCCCCCATGTAAATACATTCATGGGGTTTTTCTTCATCAAATTTGATTTCTTAAAAATCAAGTTTGATTTCTTGAACACAAAGTGTGTGTTTATAATCTCCAGTTCATTAAGAGTTAATGTGAACTAAGAAATAGTCATGATAATTCTGGGAATTCCAGTGAAATCTTATGAGATAGAGGATAAAGGAGAAGGAATGTAGTAAAAAAACCAGTGTAACACTAACCAATAATTACTTTTCTTAAAGCCAAAAGGAAGGACTAATCAGAAAATTCAATTGGAAATTTTTTTTTCCCCAAGATTTATGTTGCATTTTTGTTTTCACCTTGAGGAAAGAACTCTGCTGTCACTCTGGTTTGTAACTTGAGTTTTCCTTGTCTATAGTGCCAGGACCAAATTCCTCCAGTGACAATGGCATCAGCTTTGCCATGATAATGATGGCCTGGGTGGTGATTGCACTCGTTTTGTTCTTACTGAGGCCTAGTAATCTGAGAGGATCCAACACAGCCGGAAAGCCAACCAGCCCACATAATGTAAGTGTGTCTGAAAGTGCCCTGCAGAGAGAATTTACAATAGTTTAAATGTATTTGGTTTTAATACAGACTATCTCACAGTCATTTTTTCCTTACTTTTTTTCCCCCTGTATTTTCTTGGAACAACGAAAATGAGTAAAACCAAAGTGAAAGTAGAATCACGAAGGCCAACTGTGAGGCCTGCCGTGGGATGGAGCAGGCCTGGGTGACTGAGCATGGGTGATAATGTCCTCTGGACACTGGCTGTCCCTGGCTGGAACTGCCTCCTGCCTTCTTGTGTACAAGGGGAAAATCACAGCTTAAAGAGAAGTCAGTAAACAAAATTACAGCATGAAACTGGGAAGGTGATCTTTGTCCTACATGTGGGATCATGGAAAAATCCCTGTTGATGCAGGAAACAGTATTGTTCTTTGATGCTCATTTACGCTGAATACTGAAGGAGATATTGAAAGATCTTAAAAGATAGCACAATTTAACTCTTCTGCGGTCTTTTATTGCTGAATCATTTTATGTGAAGCACTGTTTCTAATCCTGTATGTGGGGCTTTTTTTTCTTTCTTTTCCTCCTTCCTTCCCCCTAGGGACAAGAACCACCAGCCCCACCAGTGGACTAGAGCGTTCAGTATTGGAAAAGTTCAGCAGCTAAAACCTTGCACGACCAAATGAACGAAGTGACCAGATTACTCCTAAACCCCGTTCAATACTGTTTTCTTTTCTCATTTATGTAGAGCAGAATTATCATTCAGCAGTTATCTTCACAAACTGCTTTTAGCAACTTCAATTTTAAGTTAATTTTTGCTTTCTATGTTACTACAATTCCTAGTAGATTGTAATTTGAATAATGATAAGGTGTTGCAGAGGTTTTTGGTTGTTACTGTGGACATTCCACTCAGTCTCTTTCTGTTACAATGATCTTAATTTCTTTGCAGTGATTTCTGATATGCATTAAAAGAAGAAGAAAATCCCTGTGCATCTATAATAATGGAAGGTTACTGACCTTTCTTCAGATGAATCCATATTTTTTCTCCAGTATGCTTTTGAGAGTTACATTATGATTGCAACTATTAGCTTAGTTATGTGGTGAAAAATTGAAATTATTTTATATTTGCCCTGGGTTCAGAGCAGCTTTTAGTCTGGTCTTTGGACCACTAACATAGTTTTCAGGGTTGTTGGCAAGAGCACGGATTGTCCACTAGAATTATACTCTGTGCGTGTGTGTGTGTGTACGTGCAAAGAAGTGAATGTGAAATTGCCACTGTCAAAGCTTTGGCATATATACTGGGAACTTTACACAAAAGATTATACCACCAAAAAAGAAATTAATTTAATCTTGTTCATTAATAAATATCTTATTCAATAGATTGTCAAAAAAATGTATTCTAAAGCCAGATTTGTTTATTTATAGGCTTTATGAAAAGAGAAATGTAGTGAGAAGAGCTTGGCAGAATTTTCTCTCCTGGTATAGTCTTTGAATAATTGGTATCTTAACAAGGTTTTAGCCATGAAATAATGTATATTGGACAGGATGAAATCATACCGAGAGGTTACCAAGGTTACCAACTTTTGGTATACAACATATACTGGATATTCAGGTTTTTTCACCTGTGTGTTATCAGCAGTTCTTAACATTTCATCCTTATCTACTGGTTGTAATTGTAGAATAACAAACTTGCAGGTGACTACACACGGCATGTCTTTTCCCTCAGATATTTGTGTGTATGTGTGGTGTGCTTATGTGTGCGTACGTGTGGCTGTGCACGTACCTGTGCACATCTCCCATTGTAGCAAATGGGAATTACTTTTTTATGTACATTAATTTAAGAACATTTTAAAGATGTACAGAAAAGTGACACTGTATATTTTTCTTGATCAATTTGAAAAATTGATGAGAATAATGTAAAGAACATTTTTATGTTACCAACATGAAGCTTCTTTCTGTAAAGGTCAGTAGAACAGACATATGGGAATTCAAAGCCTTATTCCATAAACCTTTATTTCATGAGGACTTTAGTTATGGAGCTGAAGGGACTAGCTGTTAAGAAGCATAAAGGTTTGTATTAACGGGCTGTAACAAAATTCTCACATCAGATCCCATGGTTGACAGACGCTGGGTTTTCCTTCTCAGGGTAAACGGCAGGCCAGCTAAGCCTCCTTGTAAAGGTACAGCATAGACCTGAAGAAAGGCTTCTGTAATTTGATGCAATTGCCCTTTGAATTTCTGTGGAATAGTGTACTCCCAAGCGTAGGAGCATGTGTAAAAAATAAAAAATTAAAAAAAAAAAAATGAAGAAGATTGGGCCAGGTGCTCTCAGCGACATCAGTGCAGTGCCGTGTAAAGCAATGGAGCTGCAGCAGAGAAGCTGAGAGAATTTGTCCAATTATGTCTAATGGTGTACAGGCCACAAACACTGTGTAAAGATGTCACTGGGACAAGCAATCTGACCATGCTTGCTTTTTGCCTTCTGTGTACATTAATGTTTGGGATACTGTTTTGAGCAGAACAAGTAATAATTTTGTTTAACCAACAAGAAAATATATATGATCTCCTACACTGACCTTTTCTCCAGGAATTTTTGTCCAGAATTCTTCACTATGGGATGCATAAAACAGGCTTCCAGTTGATTAAAAAGCCAGCTGAAACAGGCTTCATTGCAGACAGAGCACCGCTCTGCATCCTGTTGGAAGTCGGTGAGATTTACAGCAGATGCTCCTCACTTGTGAGGATCAGTCTCACTTTACTTAAATGTCTGTGTATGTATTTATAAACCTCACCATGTGCACCCATCTCTAACAGTCTTGGCAAATGAACTTTTTGTTCAGAGTAATGTTGTGTTTTACATTTAAATGAACTGTCTTTGCTTGAAATTCCTCTAAGTAAGTGTCCCAGTGATTTTATACATGTATGCTTTCCTCATGTAAATCACTATTTTAAATTTTCTATGTAAAAGAAAAAGCATTGGAAATATTTTATTGTAAAATGTTTTACTAAAGAGCCAGGCTACTATCCCACATCAGAATATATGCCTTTTAAATTCAGATACTCTCTCCAAGATATAACCTTCAGATCACCACTCTTAATTAAAATAAAAATAAATAATTGTAGGACTGTATTTTGCCACTCTTATTCATGTTAAATAGTGCCTTACTCATCAAGTAGTTGCACTGAAGTTTGTGGGACTACTCTGAGATAATGTACTAGTAGCAGCTTTAGTAAGGGTGGCAGAAATCTGGCCTTTAGTGATGTAGTTTGCGATGAAATAATTGGATCATGGTTACAGATGTTTATGGTGAATTTTGAGAAGTGTGGAAGAGATTAGTGGTCTGTGAAGCTTCAGGATATGATTAATTCTGTAATGAGGGTTTTCAGCGTGGTTAGTAAGAAGGAGACACAAGTTGTAGCAATTGGGAAATATGGAGGGAAGTTTACAATTATACCTTAGCTTAGAACTTTGTTAAAACAATAGTATTTTTAGAGTCTGCTTAACACAATTATTATACTCTGAAATGAGAAATCATATGTATTCATGTATTGTCTGCAGATCACTTAGCCTTGTAATGTTCCTGATTGAAAAAGGAAGAGTGATGATGTGATGTACCTAATGTAAATTGGTGGTTTAAAATGTCTGAATTACGCCAAACACAAAATCATCTGTGCCATTTGCGGTTTCCTAGTAATCTTTTACTGAGTACTTGGATTGGGATAAAGGGCTTGTACTATGCACTTTTTATTGACTTAATAAATAGCAATCGTTAGTAACCTTTTGTCTTTGTTAGTTTTTGTATAAAATGTAGGACTGCACCAACCTGTCAATGTCTACGGTAATTTTAAATAATCTAAATATAAGTATCAGTAAAAGTAGCATCTCATCTGTGTAACTTTTAAAATGTAAATTCTAACTTTTCTAACGGACACGTGCCTTCTGTGTGTATCTCAAGCAAGTCAGCACAAATGACAAGTGGTTTCTAAGGTTTAAGATACTTGGATGACCAACATGGACGTCTCTGCCTTTTGCTCTTTAAAATAGTCATGTAACCTAGGAAATTAGACATACTACAGTAAGAAAAGTCATGACAGAAAGTCATGACAGAGGCCAAATATGCCAATCATGTTATTTCATTTTAGATCAGAGCCTATAACTTTGGGATTCGCAGTCTATTTTCTAGTCCCAGTTCTTGGCAGTGTTGGACCCAGAGCTGCTCTGAGGAACATGCTCCAGTGGATCTGAGGCAACATGAAGAAGTAATAGAGACCTGCTGCTTCCTCACTGTTCCCGCGGAGTGGCACACTCTTCTTCCTTCGGCAGCAGAGCATGAAATCCTGAGCACTGCTTCGGCAGCAGCCCAGATCCCATGGTAGGGATTCCTGTGTTAATCCAAGGAAAAAAAGGAAAATGCCAGGGGAGGATTAAGGTTTAAAATAATATACAGCTATCCAGAGACAGTGGTAATAAATACCAGAGAATCAGAAACAAAATCTGAATGTATTTTTAGTAATAATAAAATAATAATTTAATAACAAATGCTTTAGGCATTTGAGTCAAATTAGAAACCATATGAACTTAATCAGAGATCATTAATGTCTGCTCATCAAGAGTTACCCTTTTATTCGAACATGAGGTTATAAATAACCCCTAAAACTAAAGCTAAACTTTACTTATAAGTACACTTGTTAAAACATTTGCCAAGGATGCACATGCCTATTTACGAAAAGTGATGCAGAAAGGAAATTACCACAAATTTAAATTGACTGTGTTGAATGGATCTGCATGAGGTCTGGCTGTTTAAGACCATGAGGTAAGTGGAGAAGCTTACTCTGTCCCAAAGCCTGAAAAAAAATTGCATCCTATCTAGGATGTTTGGGAGAAATACATTGAATTATTGCAGCAAAGTATTCCGTGAACGTCAAGTTAGGTTCCTTGCAAAAACGGACAACTTACATTCTTTTCTCCTACTACCATTACTTGTTCAGTCCCAGCCAACAGCCGACAGTGCAATTCAACTGCAAAGACAGGGACCTTGGGGTGGGGGAAGAAGCTGACTGTCCCACAGTGAACCACATCCTCACTTGTAGAACAGCACAACTCTGTTGGCTTCCAGGGAGTTACACTCATCGATGTCAGCTGGAGATTTGTCTCTTTTCACACAAGAAGAATAACTGAAACTGAGTTACTTGATCTTGTATCAAAATTATTGCCAACTCCCACCTTGTAATTCAGTAGAATAACTAGAAGAATCTGGCTTCTGCATTACCTTTTTAACATGCGCAGATAAGAGTGTTGATCAAAGAGGGCGTCTGAAACAAACGTATTTCAATACATGACAATATATATTAATTTGCCATATATATACAGCCCTTTAAAGTTTTCACTCTTCTTGCATGGAAAGTGATATTATAAAATATTTTATACCATATTAATTGAAAATATAGCAGTAATTTCTAATCAAAGATCACAAGTAGCAAGCTTTAAAAAAAAAAGTCTTTTGCATTTAAGGGTTTTGTACTACATCCTCCAAGCTATAAATGATGAAATGGAGGAATAATTTCTGTGACTGTGTAGTTTTCAGACTTACACCTGTTTGAAAATTCTTGAAGGTTATTAATTTCTCCTGATGCAAAAAAATACTCTTAAAATGTAAGAGAAGATACTAGAGACGAGAAAATACATTTCTTAAGCAGACCAACAAAAAAAAACCCATTGTTGTACAATATTTTGAAGGTCGCAGCCATTGCTTCGATATAAAAAGTCAATCTTAGAAAAAATAGAGGAGCTCAGTTTAGAGCAGAACTTGTAGATTAAATGATAAATGATAAACTGAGTATGAGTAGCAAGAAAATGATCCACAGAAGCCCCCACAGGACTGGACACTAAGCATGTAACACATCAAAATCCGCTTTCTTCTTGTGGTGATGGGTGAGTAAAAAATACGGTTTCTTCAGCTCTCCTGATTATTTCACGCAGCCGTGTTTTCCATCCTCAGTTTCATACAGATGAAATAGAAAGTCCAAATAATCATTTTTCCTACTTCATCCAATGCCAGCTTGCAATTTGAATCACAAGTGCATCTTGTCTCTGATACCCCCTCTGGCTGTGCGCTCCTGTTGCGCTTCAGTCTGTAGGGGGAAGAGGTTAAGCCAAATTTGCTTTTAGCTATTCTGTAACAGTGGAGCAAATCTTCACTTCATTTTAGGCAAACAACTGTTAAGGACAACTCAGTTGAGTAAAACCTTTCAAAGAAGTCATGCTACAAGATGCTTTCTTTCCAATGGGGCCATGGTGAAAAGCAGTGCCTTACCTGGCTGTTATCTCCATCACATTAGTTTTAACATTTAAGGCTTCCTTATTGTTTTTATCAAAGTTGCTGTTACACCTGAAATGGCTCTCCTGTTGGGAGATTTACTATGCTCCATGTTCAGAAAAGCAATGCTGCTGCCCACAGCACTGCTTCTGAAGGAACAGCTTTGATGTCTGGTCTGACGTGTGTAGTTTCCAGAAGAACATCAGAAGGGGAAGAAAAGAAGAAGGAAAAAAACCAACTACTAAACAATAGATAAGGCCATCAAATGTAAACATGCCTGGGAGGAAGTGTGAATAATTTCATACACTGGAGAACAAAACATTGTCATGCAGAATCTAAAAGAAAAGGGGTTGAAAGGACATTCTCATCAGAGTTTTCAAGGTGGCCTGCCTTTGATTTTTAAATTTTTTTTTCTTTATATTGCAATATCATCCATGAGTCCAGTGGAAATTACTGTCCAGATGTTCTGGGCCTTATCCAAACAGGCATGTTGACCCTGACCAAAAGCTCACTGCATTTTGGGACAAATTTTACCAATAATTGCAGTTTGGGGTACTGATTGTCACTAACAAAAATACTGTGTTAGGTTAATGATAAGCTGTTCGGGCAAACTGTCTGACCAAACAGCAAAGTCGAAGTTCTGATGAGCCAGAGAGCCAGAGGTGAGGAGAGGGCATAAGTAGGGACGTGCCAGGTGGAAAATGTCTCCCATAACAACCTGTAATGGTGGCTCTGCGCAGTTAACTGTTATGGTTGGCTTTGAGCACACGTAGGAGTTCAGGCACTCGGCTGCCTGTGTCCAAAACTGGCATATGGCTTGCTTTATGCAGCTGCTGGAGCCTTTTCCAGAGGCACACGCATGCCCAGTCCCACACGTCCCTGCGTAATCTCTTTAGCTGCGTCTCCTTCCTTCCTCTTCGCATTGTAAAATACAAAGCACGGATTCAAATACTGATCCAACTGGTCTGCGGGGCAAGTCTGCTGGGCACTTTTGTGCCTCAGCCTGGGACTGTCGCCAAGTAGCTCAGATTTACCCGTTACATGCAAGGTTGCCTCCCGGTTGTGCTGTGTCAAAAGTTAAAGAAAGGCTTGATAGACAATGGTGGCTGTTGAATCTGTGTCAGATGTCAGTGTCACAAACTGATCACAGAAACACAGCTGCCTTTAGTTAATGATCAGCTAAATCTGGTGGGGAATTAGTCTGACATTAGACGCTCCCTAGATATGATACAAAACATCTTTCATATCCAGGGTTTCTTGCTAGCTTTTCCTCTCACCTCCAACATCAGGGCACCAGCCAGGAGATGACGCAATCACGCACTCACTTGCTCTTTCTTTTCTTCCCTCCCAAATCCTTCATAAATCATGATTTCTCCCTTGCGTAATGGCATAGCTTGTACCTGAGAAGCGAAGAGCGCCTCCTCCACCCACCTTCGGCATTCAGACTGCCCTTCACTTGCTGGTTTCCAGAAAGGCGGAGGTGAGGCCTTGAGCCCCCTCCTATTTTCCACACAGAAAGGAGAACACAGGATCCGATCTCACACTGGTACGTGCTCTACCCATTGAGCTGTTATATTAAAAAAACATTACCGCTTTCCTTGGCCAAGCTTTTTGAATGAAGCAGTCTTAAATCTTTGGATTGCATGCTGCTTGATCCTGCTGTGTTAGCCTTTGCCTGAGCACACATTAAAGGTCAGGTCTATGGGAGCAA